TAGATACTACACCTGAAGAGGGTTCCACAGCTGCAAAGTTTTTGGACTTTCCAGTGTGCCGTTAACAAGTGCAAATGCAATTAACCTCCGCTTGTTCCTCTGCAGCTAAAAGCAACCCCACTCGTACCTCTTTAGTATACGTTTGGTACTTGGAATTAAACTCCTTGTTTTCTGGGTGAACCACTGTGGAGTTCCAGGCAATTCTCAGTTCTTCCAACTGGAATTTTGTGGAATGTGAGCATGGAGACACAGGAAGTATTTGGAAAGGCAGGGGCTTCACAACAGCGACAGAGGGGTACAGTGAACTACAAAAGTAATTAATACTTTTTTGTAGGAGCCAAATTTGAAATTGGCTCAGTACAAGTCCAGTGTTTTGCGTTGCAGTTTAAGTACTTGAACACTTGTAATTGCCTACCATGCTTTAAGTTACACAATCCAAGTTTTCTTATTATTGTTATCACTACTGATATTATGCCGGTCGAATACTTTTGATGTTCAGTCATGGGTGATCTGTTAAATTAAAATGCATTTGCACTTTTGTGTTGTCCGTGATTGTCAAGTGTGTGGAGAACTATATTTTTATCTTCCAACAAAAAAAAATCTGTAGTCCAATACCTTCAGCAGCAGTTGTGCTGTGAATGAAACAATAATCGGTCTCCTGCAAAAGGCAGGGTTGCACTTAATTGAATATGTGTAAATTGCCTTTCTGGAAATATTAATAAAAATAATTGGCTGTATTTTTTTCTGTATTGTTCTTTGTCTTCTGGGACAAATTCACCTTTCTGCTGATTCCAACAATGTTCTGTAACACTGGGCAATCAGGCAGACAGTGTCATCTGTATCTTAACAGCATGCTTAGTTTGACACCTGCTTATCTTCCAAAACGCTGTGTCCATCAGTACTGGTCCCAAGAGGACAGGTGTACAGTAGCTAATCGTCATAGTTCATACTTTAATATTCTGAGGAAAAATTCACAGGTTCAGCCATTGGCCTTACTCTCTGCATGCAGCTACAGAGATTTAAAATCTTGATCGATTCTCTGCCATGTCTGTGCCCTTGCCTCACAAGTGTATCTGATGGGACCACAGACTCCCATCGGTTACAGGACAGGACTAAGTCGCCTGTCTGCTCCCAGATGACGGCTTCTGTTCGAGTTCAGTTTTCAGCTCTGACCTACTTTCAGAAGTCGTAGTTCTTTTGATTCTCATCAAAATAAGCGTGTGCACGCTCATGAGTGAGCAATGCAATTATTACAGAGAACATTTTCATTGCAAATCGTGCAGAATAAGCACATTTTGGAGTTTTTTTTCCCCCTTCAGATCTTTCTCGGAGTCGGCGCCTGTTCCTTTAATGTTCTTTTGTCCTGTGCAGATGCTCTACCTGGCTCCTGTGTGCGCCTTGTCTGCCACCCCTGGGGCAGCAGTGTGGCTCAGTGGTTAAGATTGTGGACTTGTCACCAGAAGGTTGTGGGTTCAAATGCTGGGTGCAACACTGCGGTTCTGTGAGCCAAAACCCTTCACTGAAATTCCTCTGGTAAATACCCAGCTGTATAAATGGGTGCACATGTAAACTGCTTTAAATAATCACTTAATACGGCTGGCATGCGGGTCGGTTCTGGGGTTCTGCAGGTGATCAGAACCTCACAGGTGGTGACTGTAGAGTGAATACCCACAGACCTGAATGAACCCACCGAGAAAACCTCAGTGCCAGTGTTCTTGTGCCAATCCCATCCTTGCTTTCTCGGTCGAGAAATTCTATTCTGTGAATTGTTTTCACCGACGGTCGTGCTGTGGAACCGTTGCCCTGATGGACTTTAAGCTGGTTTAATATGTGTTTTATCCTTGCTATCTTTTTAAACCCCACCCCCCTGCCTCCTAATTTGGAGTGGTTTAATGTTTAAAAAGAAGTACAAGGTGGGTGTTGTGATTCTCATCTGTCCCTCCTTTTGCAATGAATGAGCTCCCTGTCTGCAGAACGATTTCGGTCCAAGGGGGCGGGCCTTCTGTCTCTAGGCAACCTTGCTGCCTTTGTGTCCGTCGGAATAACTCCTGCAGAACACCAGGGGGGGTCATTGGTCAGGATCTGACCGACAGGCTTTGTACCGTTTGTCCAGTTCAACTGTGACCGCGTTGACGGGGGTCAGTCATTACAGCAAGTGCATGTTGGAGACGCACGCAGTAGGGGAAGTGTCCAGACTGCAGGACAGTACCTGCTCCCAGAAGGCATCGTGCTGTTTGCACGCATTGGCCAGCTGAAACAAACTTCATGCCTTCGAACCACTGTGAGCGTATGGCTGCTGCCAGGCATTCCTGAACCTTTCATTCGGCGCAAAACACCCAGCGGCAAAAAAAGGGCCATCTAGCTGGTTCGCTGGTTAGTAACTACAGTATTTGATCCAAGGACCCCAGCCAGACGTTTCTTAAAAGAAGTCAGGGTATTGGCGTCAACATCATGCCTGGGCAACTTGTTCCACACTCCCACCACGCTTTGTGGTGGGAGCACCACAAGCTACCTGGCTGTATTATGAAAGCCATAATCCACCTAACTTTGAGAAACAGCTGGATGGGAGCCTTGCATGAACTAACTACTAACTACCGATGGGTCCAAACGGGCCCACCCTCTGGGAACCTTTCTTCTGAAAGATCGAACCCCTGTCTTGGGCTCAGTGCGCTCTGAGGCGGCGTCGGCTCAGGATTAATTACACAGGGGAGAAGCCGCCACACCACACCTTGAACTTCATTCCTTCGTGCTGTGTAATTGTTTGATCAGGATGGGTTTCTGATATCAGATCAGACATTGCCCTTACGTGAATGACCCCCCCACACACACACACACATACACACAAACACGTAAAAAACACAAACAAATCAGAAAAATATAACCCAACATTACAATCCCGAGAGGAGTTTGGTTATCCCAGCCCTGTCTTTCTCCCTAGTAAAAAAAAAATCAGCTTCAACACCATTGCAAAGCGCAGGAATCAGATTGATTTCTTGAGCATGAACGCGGGTCAGTCCTCCCACTTCCCACAGCAAAGTGCCTGAATCTTAGCTTTTCAGTCTACGCACACTCACTGGGCTGAAGGGCTGTCCGCTCCGGGTTCTAGAGGACCATGCCAGGTTTTCTAAGTAACACGTAATCACTGGGAAGTCCAGGGTGGGATGAAAACCTGGAGAAATGGCTCAGGATCTGGAGCGGATCTCAGCGGGCTAGCCTATATGTCCCCAGTTCTGGTTCTTTTTGTCCCACCCGAGCACTGAACATTGAACTGTTAACAGTCCTGATGACAGATTTAATTTGAGCTCTTTGATGGCACTCAGTTCCTAAACATGAGGGATAGTTAGCTGTTGTGTTTCATTAGTGTCTTAAGATCTCCGGCTTTCGAACAGATACAAATTAATTTCAGTACAGAGCTCAGCTAGAGTCTCTTCTAAACCCAAGGGAAGTGTGGTCTCGTCAGCGAATTGGTTCAGGAAGTGCTCGACTGCACGTGAGACTGCAAGACTTCGGATCAATTGGCTCAAGCAACTGAACCCACCCACAGCTGCCCAGTCCTGGTGAGAAGCAGGGCAACCCGGAGCCCGCAGGCTGGACTTCACCCAGGCCAGGACATCTGTCCGTACCGGTGAGCAAGACGGCATCAGAACATAATGGGTACAAACCATCTGGATCATTGGACAGCTAATGGATCCCAGGGCCTCCTCCATCTGTTTCTTGCAAGTGTGGCTGGGAAGCTCGTTCCACACTCCCACCACCGTTAGCGTGCAGAAGCGCCCCCCTGTTCTCGGTTTTAAATGCACATCCATGTAGTTTCCACGTGTGTCCTCTGGTGCTTGCTGTTCATTCTGAAAGAAATCCGCTGGGTGGCACTGACGATGCCTTTGAGACATTTTGAATACTTGTAGCATTTTCTCTTGTAGTCTCGACTCTGAACTGATTGAGCGGCAATATCTTTTCTGCATGACCTGGTGACCGAAATCATCTTTGGGAGGTGGAAGGAAACGCTAGTGGACCAAGCAGACTCCACACAGAAGGCGCTCCTGTCCGTGACGCCAGAGCTGTGAGGAAACAGCAGCGCTGACCGCCGGGCCGAGTGGAATTACGTGCAATCCTGAGAGAAAAATTTAAAAGTCTGAAATGTGACGATTCCGCTGCCTCGGAAGGTTTCGTGGGCGAGGCTGGTTGGAATAGCCTATAAACACCAGTCTGAGCACAAGATGACACTCACAGTTTCTGTTTTGGCTAAATCTGTTTTCTGTTTGTTTTTGAAAGGCAGCAGCACAGGCGGGGAGAAGGCAGAGTGATCGTGGGCGTGTCTCCGGGAGAGAGAGAGAGAGAGAGAGGTTTTCACAGGCCGCCCAGGTGAGCTCTTCACTTCCGAAGTCAGTTCACCTGGGCTTGCAGTGCAGAGCGAGACGCAGCTCGCTTCGCCGTATTTCCTGGCTTCGCTTCTCGCCTGCTGCCCACAGCTCTTCGCTCCAAAAGCAGGGAAAGCTGTAGTTATCTCCGTTGTGAACATTTTTTGTTGTCGTTTCTCCACACTAACGACAATCGTGCGACGATGTCCTTGCCCGTGTCTCCCGGCGCTTCCTCGTACCGGACCGTGAGCTTCTCTTCCTCATCCTTGTCGCCGATGTCCCCAGAGCTGCCGGTCTCGGGCGTTCCGGTTTCGGGGCTGCAGATGACGGGGGTACCGGTCCAGTACGTGACCAACGGAGCCGGCATGGAAGGCAATGTGGTCTACGAGACGGTCCGGTACCTGGTCCCGGTCGAAAGGAAAGTTATGCCCGAGTCGTATTGGTTGGTTGACAACAGACAGCAGCTCATGGCAACTCCAACCTACGTGCAGAGGTACAGCGTCAGCAGCGCCGACGGACTGGACACCGTTTATCAACAGCAACACGTACAACAACAGAGCACGATACACCTGGACGACATGGCCGTAAGTTGAAGCTCTTAACCACAACCCGTGACACTTTACCGCTTACTGCGCGTTGCTCTTCCTAGTTTTGAGCACTGAAAATGTGGTGTAATTGAATTTGGTTAATTTATATTTACAGCACTTTCCATCCAACAGGCAATTGTCCCGCCGAGCTCAATAAAGACACGAAAGCTTTATTACATTGCGACGGGGGGAGGATATAAAACCAGTCAGCCTGCAATAAAGGTTTCGATTTCTTCACTGCGTTGCTCAGTACTGAGTAAAAACCATTCAAGTCCAATAATATTGCTTCAAGGCGATGATAGCACTTTCAATCTCCTCCGGAAACCAGTGAATGCCAGTTTGCAATTGTACCGTGTACTGGGCCACTGAATAAAGCTGTATCCATTATACTGACAGAGTGGCACACTACATTCTCACCAGCGCCTGGTTAAAAACATGCCTGAGGCGGTCAGTTATCAGTGTATGACTAGGCAAATATACAGTTGATACTTGTACAGCATGTCCAAAAATATCACCCAAGTTACTGTATAGATGTGCAGCGTTTTTATTTTGTGTCTGTGATCGTTTTTTGACTGCAGGACTAGGAATGGCCTAATGTGGCTTGTGCTTTAAAAAGCAAAATCATCAGGACACACCAGAGAATGATCAGAGACTTGACAGCAGCTGCCTGGTTCCTCAGCTTTGGCTAAAACAAGAGGGCGAGAGAGAAACGAAGGCGTGACTTTGTTAACGCCCCTCGAAAAAGTAAATGTGACAGGATCTGTCATGTCGTTCTGCTCATTTAGGCCTGAAAATGACAAGGTGAGGGCTGGAACTGGTGTTTACCAGACCGAAGAGTCAAGTGGAAGAATCCGCAGAGTGTTTTTTTAAACTGACTAATTATGTTGCTATTCGCTACAGTATTCAACACCAGCAACACATTGCAGCAATTATTAGTGCAATGTGTTTATTGTTTATTGTTATTAAGTGTGATTATTAGTTTTCCACTAACCATTTTTCCTAGAATTCTGCTACATAAATATTGAGCACTGTGGCGTTGTCCCCTTATAATAGGACTCTGTAGGAGCAGGAAGTGTTGTCACTGGTCCCAGCAGTGTGGTCACAATGGCTAGGTCTTGTAACTGGGAGGTTGTGGGTTCAAATCCCTTGTGGGATGTGCTTGTTGTTCAGTTAACCAAGGTGAGTCAATCAGATTGCACCAGTAAGAGAACCACCATGATAAAGAGAAATCTCGTGAATGAATGAATAGTAATAATGTTTTAGGTATTAAGTTAAAGTGGGTTTTTTTTACTCTTAACTGCTACATCTAACTGCTTGGTGGGACCGAAAACCTGAAATCTGAAGGTTAATTTAGCTCATTCCTGCCGCTGGGCACTGCGTGGCAGAGAGAGCTGTGCTCAGTCGGGTGGGGGCAGTTTGGGCCAGCATGCTTGTCTGCAGACTTGCTGGTGTGGATTCCTGCTGTGTTTGATTGCAAAGCTGTGCTGCAGTCCAGTTTCCTCACAGTGATTCACAGGCTTCTGCATGAGCTTCGTCACCACAGCTACATGATCTACAAGCCCAAGCAACTAGATGCTGTTCATGTTTAGGAAGACAATTCTTCTGCACTAGACTGCTTCTAGACACCCCAGATTCTCAACCACCTACTAAGCCCTGCCCCTCATATTCTGCACAGCTACTGAACCCTGAACCCCGAACCCCAGGTTCTCTCCCGTTCCTGAGCTTTTCCCCCCCAGAGGTTTCTGTCCTGTCGGGGTTTTTACTTTCTGTTCTAATCTCCGGTTAATGCTATAAACTGCAGAGATGCCGGCATTCAGGCAGAAATCCTGGAATAATGCACTTTACTATCAGGTGACATCCCACGACGGAATAGAATTAAAATTTGAATCTTAAACAAAAAAGGAATCCATCACTTCATGTGGAGACAGGTCCATTCAGGCAACTGCTATTATAGGAGCCAAAATGACATGCAGCACATTCAGTCAGAAGCCAGAATACTGGTTTATTAATTACTGCTGGCTGATCTGTGTGCCGTGCTACACAAACACTGGGCAGAGCTGCGCTCCAGATCTTTAGGTTGCAAGAGGTAGACGCCCATGTTTTCACTCTTGCCTCTCGTTCGCGAAAGAGTTTTTTTCCCCCACTCATAAAATGTGGCTCGAGGAAAACCTAAATGCCCTCGGGCAATCAGCTGACCGAAATCGTGCTCTGAAATCCAGCTTTTCTCTTGATTTACATGGTAGTTTGAAGAGAATCTCTCCTTGTTTTACGAGGCTTCTTTAAATTTGTTTCACATTATCATAAACCGCCAAAGGGGTACGGGGGGAAGGTCTGTAAAGAGACTGCAGTACCTTGGAGACAATGGCTGCTAAGGAAGACTATTCGAAAGTAGTGATTTACATTGAACAGGTGAAATGAAAGGCGGTCATTAGCTTATTACACCCCTATAAACCTGTTTCTGAAGTGGGACATGAGACAGAGGATACACATAATCCCCGCCATTCACAGTGCAGTCTTTGGCCCAGGTCCCTGCAGAACCACACCCAGCACAGAGCCTGTTGGAACAGAGTGAGATGCGCCAACAGTGGGCTGCTTTCATCCCTTGCTTGTGAATCACTGCTCCTCCTTCTTCTGGGGTTTCTGCAGCCCATGGTCCTCCTTCCTCCTCTTCTTCTGACAGGTTGGGCGCCTTCGAGACAGACCGGACCTTTAGAGAAACGGTCAAAGAGTTGACCGATGAAATGAATCGGGATAAAGAGGAAGCATCTGGTTTGTGAAGCTGAATGGGTGGTGGTTTTCGGCCTGTCTTACCGGAGGCCCAGCATGAGGTGGTGGGAACCCCAGGAGGTCCTCTGCTGTGTGCAGAGCAGAGCAGCGTTCCTGGGTGCTCGGCGTGCTGTTTGCCGGGGTGGGTTGCCACTTCTGGTTCTTAGCCAGCGCGTTCTCTCTGTCTCCCCCTATAGGCCTCCAATGGGAAAACTCCATCTGTGTTCAGCCAGACCTCGAGCCCTGCCAAGAGCCCTGAGCCCAGCTCCAGTGAGGTGAGTGTTGCATTGCACACCTGCACATGCACGGCTGCACACCTGTGTGCAAATATTGCATCAGTATGGGAGATTCGCTGGAATACTTCCCTGCTTTTTTTGTTGCTCGGGGGGGTTGGAGAACAGACCAAGAACACACACGAGACACAGACACGACGAGGGCAGAGTTTTGGCCTTGAAGACATCAAACCCACTGTACCTGCACATTGCCAGCTGCAAACCCAGATTTCTCAGCTGCTGGGTCCAAACAAGGCACCTCTGGTGAAGACAAAGCTGCCGTAAAGTCGGTCGGTGGGATTTAGTTTTGATCTAATCCAGGCCACTTTCCTAACAGCGATTATAATAATATAATTATAATAATGTTAATTATAAACAGCCTGAAGCAACGAATGATTTGCCTGGCTTATTGTTTTTTTATGAGGCAAGGAGACACTATACCGAGGGCGTTTGCCAAAAGCAACGGGTAATAAGACCTTCAAGGGACCAGCTGTGTCTTCTGAGATAGCAGGCTACCGTGAAGTCACTATGATTGGAGACGGGGTGCAGACTTTCAAGACGGTACCGTGATCCGAACGGGCCTTGCGACTCCTACTCTGGCAGCAGAGCCTGGGCACTGCCAACAGCTGGACAGTGTTCACGGCCCGGACAGCACCTTACCGTTGTTCTGTCCCAGATCTTCACAATCCATAGTTTGCTGATTGTTTGAAAAGATTAGTCCTGCAGAATAAAAAGGCTGATGTGTGCCATCTTAATTTAGCCACAGGAAGGACCGGCTCGTCAGGTCAGATTGCTAAACCTGCCTGAACTCTTTCTTCCAGTTTCTGTATAGGAGTTTATTTTGCAATTCACAGGGGCAGCACTGAGCCAGCCCTTGATGAGACAATGACAAGGTGCAACAAACGTTGATGACAGTAATCAGAATCAGTAGATAAGACAATGGGGGTAAAGACTCCTCAGGTACCCCTGAAGTAGGGTATTTTTGACCTTCAGGACTGACTGAAAGAACAAGTTAAATTAAAATCAACACAAGCAAGCAGATCAATGAAGTCGTGAATTGGCACTGGAGCTGTGGAGCTCGTCTGGGATGAAAACCAGCTGACAGGATTCCTCCAGGATCAGGGCTGGGAGATGCAGTCTCTTCCAGCACTCCCTATCAGTGATGTCTTCTTGGCCGTGCAGTGTGTGTGTCGTTCGGTTTTATCTGGATTAGCCATCTTATTTGTTCAATGCTGACCTGCGCTGCGCTCTGAATGATTGATAGGTCTTCAGGAGATTTCTGGCATGTAAACAGTGCTGTGCCAGCCTACACCAGCAGCAGCATTTCAAAATCGGCATGCAGGCTTCTGGCTCTACAGAGCGTTGCAAAATGTTTTTAATTAGTCACCCGCTTAACCTAGCTTGCTTGTTCACATTAACCATAGGTTTGTTAAATGGTTGGAAAACAAAAGAAAGTACAGCACCTAATTCTAACCTTTGCAATTGGCTAAAAGCATTAGCCAAATATATAGTAGTAATTATCTAATCTAGAAAGTGTGAAGGCAGCCCTGGTCCTCAAGTCCTGTAAGTTTGAAAACAGTGCTCTGAAACTGAGTTCCTGGAGGAGCTGGTGTGCTCTGGTTTCTAATCCAGCCTGGGTTGTCAATTAAACTATCACCTTATGTTCTTACTTAAACACAAACAGGCTGTTTATTAAGGCCATCTATTGTTGTCAACTCAAAACATTCATTCCGTTAACAGTACAGTTTCCTATAAAACACTCTGGAGCAAGCTCGTGATTTGGAAGTACCGATTAGTTAACTTTAGTCTTTCACAAGGTAACCAGGAGCTCGATGGGAAAAAAACAGGAAGACTCCAGGCTCCCCAGGAAGTGAGTTTGACACCCCTGCTCTAGGGACACAGCTGTCTTTATATGCACTTCAGTGATTATAGTTATTAAGGTTCTGAGGGGGAATGAAAACAGGAAATCCGAGGGCAGGAATGGCTCTCCTCAATGGGTAGCTTGGGTAGGACAGAACAGCCTGTTAATCTGGAAAGAAGTCAGGAAAAAAGGCTTTTTGTGTAGTTTATCCATCAGGCTTCACAAAGTACACTCCGACAGCACTGAGCTTTAAGTCAGCAGTTTTCGCCATGTTAAGTCTACTCCCCTGCAGTGGGATGTCATGTGTTTGGTCAGAGAATACGGACCTTGTCTCCCTTGACAATGTCCGGCCTGTGATGAGCACGAGAGTCCGTCCGGCCTTGAGGAGCTGAAAGCGAGCTGGATATCGGCCTCTCTCCCTTTTTTTCTTTGGCATTTTTTTCAAACCCCGTGGGCGTGACACGCCCGGAAAATGATTTTTTAATGATGATGGCAGCTTTGCAGAGTAATGACTTACCTCCAGGGTTTCCCTGGAGCTGAAATCTGAGCGTGCGAGTGTTGGGTAATACAGCCTGAGCCCCGAGGGTGTCCTGTGGACACTGGAGCCTGCAGCCTGAGCCTCTGGCTCAGATAGGACCTCTGGGCAGGTGGACACCGGACAGAGTCCGCACGCTGGCTGGTGTGGAGAATCGAGCCTTTCCTGGGACACGTCGGCCTGTTTGAAGGCAGATGGGGATGCAGCTGATGTCCTGGCTGAATTTCCCCCTGGTCTTTACCATTCATGGCCTCCTAATAATCCCCATCTGTGAACTGGCTTTATCACTCTGCTCTCCTCCCCACTGAGAGCTGGTGTGTGGGGAGCGTACTGGTGCATCATCCAGGTGGGGCTGCACACCGGTGGTGGAGGAGGGGATCCCCATTACCTGTAAAGCGCTTTGAGTGGAGTGTCCAGAAAAGTTATATATAAGTATAAGTAATTATTATTATTACTACTACTGATTATTATTTAAGAGTTCATTCTCTCAGACTGAAGTGCGGTGTCCTGGGATTCTGTAGAGAATGCTGCTGATTCTGAAAAACAGCCTTGAAAAGGCACTATATGAAATAAGAATAAAGTGACATCTTGCTCTGCAAGAGCGCCCTTTGCACGCATGCACAGCCTCTGTTGACAGACTGATTTTAAAACTTCGATTTCCTCCTTCTCCTTGTTGCAAGAATGTCTCGGCTGTGTTCGGGGGAAAGACAGGCTTTGAGCTTGGAAGACTCCTGATATTACCCTTGAGTCATCACCTGCATGTCGCCGCTGGTCGCATCTGCACTGGAGGGTTTGGCAGCGAAGCCGTCTCCCCCGCGGTCCCGCGAGCCAAGGCGACGTGGCTTCTGCAGAGCGGAGTGGTTTGAGACGATAGGCCGGCGCTGACCTTGTCCTCTTTCGCAGCGAGCGCGTCGGGGATTCAGCCGGCTCTAACGGCGGGGCCTGGGGATCCTTTCTGCCGCGCAGCGCTTGTCAAACCATCTGGGGGAACGGGTTCTCCTAAGGCTCGTCCCATTGTGTGTGTCAACCCCCCCACCCCCCCCAGAGCAGCTTCCAGCCTGGGGGCTCTGTCGCTGACGGGAAGAATTTGATTTACCACTCGTCCTGCTCTGTGAGACGGCACCTGGCAGCAGGAGCCCGCGGAGTTTGTAGATGAGAGGTGGCGGCACCTTTCAGCTCGGCGGGGGGGTGGGGCAGTTCCTTCTCTGCAAAGCCTCAAGCATGCAGTGGGCCTGCTGGGTAAAGTGGGTCCCCTTCTATATGTAAAGTCCCTTAGGGAGAAAGGCGCTATATACCTGCGATTGATTAACTTCAATTGAAGATGCTTGTGGGCAGCGTGGTGTGACAGTGGGTAGCGTCGCTGCCTTGCAGTGCTAGGGCCCCGGGTTCATATCCAGGTCTGTGGTACTGTCTGTGAGGAGTTTGTCTGTTCTCCCTGGGTTTGCATGGGCTTTTCACTGGGAGCTCTGGTTTCCTCCCACAGTCCAGAATCATGCTGGTAGGCTCCTGGGAAAATTGGCCCCTGGATTGAAATTGTCTGTGATGGACTGGAGTCCCGTAATGGGTGCACCCTGCCCTGGGCCCATTTCTTGCCAGGATAGGTACCAACTCCCCCAGTACCCCGAGTTGGCAGAAGTGTTGTGAAAATGCTTTGATGAAAATACATGCATGATTCTCCCTTTTCTGAATCCTGTTTCTGGATACTGGAAGCAAACACGACAGATTACATAAAAGGATTCAATGAAATATTCTTGCCATGTAGTCCTGCTCAATCCTTTGTGCATTTTTAACTTTTTAAAGTCCCCCATCCTTTAGATGTAGACTAGCAGCGTCTTCATATCTGGTAACATTATAGAATAGATGAAATAGGTAGCAATGTATCAATATAGTTAATAATTAATATAGTTCACACCTATGTCTAGGTATTTGCAGTTATTGAAATTGAAGCCAAAATGATCTGCCTTTGTTTGCTTTAGTTACACTTCCACAACTGGTGCAGCAACATTTTCTCATCTTCAGTCCTGCTCTCGAATGGCTCTTTTATTGCTGTTCTCTGCACCTCGGGCATTCCTCCATCTCCTATTAAACTTCACCTTGCTGGAGATTTAGGGCGCTGAATGGCTTTGGGGGATTTTCTGCTCTGTTAGGGCACGCAGAACCAGGACTGGAAAGCTGTCCTGGAGCGCAACTTCTATCAGTGCCGAGGTAATTGCAGATCTGCCCTAAATTACAGCATTATTGAATAACAGCCTGAATCCAGTTACACCAGCCATTAGAGACAGACTGACCCTCTTTGACGTATGAGACTCTGCAGACTTGGCAAGCTCCTGGTGGCGCGGGTAAGGGTGGGATGTGTGTTCTTGGCCACTGTTTCGCGAGAAAGAAAGGCACTGCAGAGAATGGTCAATATGGCCCAGAAGATCATCGGCTGCGGTCTCACCGAGATTAAACAGCTCTATGAGGACCGCTGCCGTGGTAGAATTCTGGCCATCACAGAGGACATTCACCCCACTGCCCTCAGGCAAGAGATATAAGAGCATACGGACACTGACCACCAGATTCTTCAATAGCTTCTATCCACAAGCAGTGAGACTGGCGAACACTTTT